TTAATATCTCGTGGCCACGATTTACTGATGCGTGGGAACGAGTTCTTTTTATTTCTGACTGATGTCACCAGACGGGCTCCGGACACGGGAGAATAAGAAACACACTATAAAGCACTGTGTGGATCCCAGCTCGGGTCAAAAAGGTGCTTCATAAGTGCAGTGCTGTGGAACAGGGGTGGACTCTGCAAGTCTGCAGACCTTCTACAAAAAGCTAAACACTATAAGAGAAAGAAAAAAAACGAAAAAGCAGAATATAGGGTCTTCAAAAGGTCATTTCAATTCCAAAGTGGCTCCAGAAAAGCTCATAATGGTTTGGAGTGTAAGTTCCCTACTTCTGAGCAATGATCTAAACCCAGAGTGACACACAATGAGCATCACACCAAAGGACTTTTTCTTGTTCCTCAGATTGTTTTTTTACCCGCAGAGCCATCTTCATCTTCAGGGTGCAGCTCGGTCCGGAGTTCCTGAGGGGGAAGCGCTGGCTCAGCATCATGTCCTCGGCCTCCAGCAGCTGCCTCAGAGGCAGCGTTAACGTCCCCAACGAACAATCGTGTTTCTCATCTTTCACCTTAAAAGACACGAAGTACAACACAGACATCAGACACCTCCCAGATTGACCTGCTCATACACCAGACCAGATGCCTTCTTACCTCCACCTCCAGCTCTTGGGTTTTGGGGTTGTGGATGAGGAAGGTGAATGCTTCCTCCCACACTGGTTCATTGGTCTTATATCTGGTCTGGAGAAAGACACAAGAAGGGAAAGAAATCTAAGAGCTAGTTCAACAAGACAACATGGAGGAAACAAACCGTAGATTTATGGGTAACAAGAGTTATTTTAAGTGAACACGTTCACAAACAAGTTCCTCTGAAAACAGACTGCATTCACACATTTTAACAGAATGAATGAAGCCATAAAAACGAGTGTGAACATGCACTCACCTTGCTCTCGAAAGATTTGTGTCCCACTGTGAACTGGACAAACGGACTGGGGTCGCTGGTCACCTTTTTACCGGACTGCAGCAGAACAAGAACAAGTTTTATACACAAGTAGGACTGAAGCTGTGCTTTTTATTTTTACAATAGTTTCCTTAGAGCTGTTTGCAACAAACTGCTTTAACCCTCTGAACACCAAAACCCACTGTCGGGTTATCTTTAACAATAAATACATTCACTCAAGCTCTATCATTTACTAGAGCCAGAAACTATAAAAAACTATTTGTCAGATCAACTTTTCTGACAGTCCTTGAACTATTCAGTCTGGTAGATTCAACAAATCCCAGCTTCAACTGTAAATATTTCATCAAAACCACTTTAATCTACATGTATAATTCTAAAAAATAAGTTAATAATAATTAGTTTGCACAAACCAGATTCTCTAAAAATGTAAAATTCTGCACTTCTTAGCGCTGCAGTGAAACCACGACTAACTCAGCTGCAGTCACATAAAACCAGTGAGCATTGGGCTAAACTGCAGGCTGTGTTTACACAGAGAGGAAATAAATACAAAATGTAAGTGGTGAGAAATCCATCCCCCACATTTTATTTTGAATTTTGGTAAAATAGATAATTAAAGAAAGTCAACTTTAGTTGTTTCCTTTTTTAAAACTAATCACAGCATTATAATCATATACATTTATGAATATATTACACAACAACATTTTTCAAATCTCCTTTGTCATGCTTGTGCTGTTTTCAAAGAAGTGCAGGACTTTATATTGCAGTGAAAAATAGCCCATCGTGAGCAAAATCTGAAAATAAAAAATGGCAACTGACAACATTTAGGGGTTCAGAGAGCTAAAAAAAAAAAAAAAGGATGCTGTGGTAAAAAAAAATTTAAAAGAATAATACATGCATGCTGCTTCAGTGTCCTTTTTTAAACAAATTATTCCAAATTAAACACCTTAAGTCACTACATTGTACTGCTTAATGTTCTTACAGCTTTGCCCTCAACACTAAACATAACGATGGAGAAGGTTTGAGCATTAAAAATGTGCACTTTGAGCTGTTAGTGTCATTTCTAGGCTGTCACAGGAGATCACTGGGAAATAATGAAGAAGATAAAGTGTTTAGTTTCCCTGAAGTGTAGAAAAACACACCAGATCAGTTTAAGGGAAAAGATCAGCTCAGACAACAGTGCTGTTATGTGCAACACACATTGTTAGACACAGTTTTTGTGGACAAACACTGCGATTAGTTTGTTAATGATTTCACAGCAACAGTCAGTAAATGGTTTCAGATGCTGCAGTGGCGCCCCCTAATGGGAAAGTCACCAAATGATCTTTAATATTTGACATGATTGGGTTGAAACATTTTCACAGATGAACACAATACAAGGAGATTTTAATTTTTCCAGATTTGACATCAGATTTCTCCTTTTGTCTTTTAGTTCTTGGTGCTCAGAGCATCCCAAACATGGCAGCTTTCTTCTTGTGGTTCAAATCAGGAGTTGAAGAATCTTTCGAACTCAACAAAAATACAATCAAGAAGATTGAGTGACAAAAACAAGTACATGTTGCTACAGAGAACAGACTTCTCTGAATTTACTGCAGCCAAAAGTATGTGGACACGCTTCATTTTCATGGTTTAAGTCCAGTAACAGGAAAACATCTTAAACAGCAGCGTTCCACAATCTCCACAAAGAAATGATTTGCTCTGGAGAAAAACTGGAGAACAGTGAGACAGCTGTAGGTGCTAGAATACTTTGGGATCTACTCTGATTACAACAATTCACTGTGAGTGTCCAGATGTGAGGAGGGGAGAGAGTTAGCTGGTTTTTAAGTCTCTCTGGATCTCTTCTGTGGGTTGATTCTGATACGTTCACACATCAGCTGTAACCCTGAAACCCACGGATGCTGTTTATCAGTGTGCACTAAGTTTGATCAAAATAAGATGTTCTTATATAAATGATACCTTCTGCATACTTAAAGCAGGACTTCTCAGCTGGCAGAAGCTGCATCGGCTCACTCAAAGTTTCCTCTGAATTTCTAGCTCTTTATTTATTGTTATTGGTTTTATGTATTTTTAATTGTCTTAACAAGTTCCTGCATCTTTTGTTGCAATATATTCAAACGGTGGAAACAACAAAATCCCTGCAGCTGCACTTTATGTGGAAGGACTCAAACCAGAAAGGAAGCAGATCCACGGCCACCGTTTTATAAAGACTTGCTTAAACGTGGTCTGCAAAGTCGGGCGTCCACATACTTTTGGTCACATTGTGGAAGTGTGAGTGTTTGCGTTTCCCCTCTGAGCGGCATGGTGTGCTTTGTTACCTTTATGGCCTTACTGACCGAGGCCTTCCTCAGCCCCGCTTGGTTGAACTCTAACGGATTGCGCTTTGATTTTCCCCAACGGACAAGGCAGGAGAGAGTAAACACAACACACACACAAACAACACACACCAGCAGGTTATTTATGGGGAAAAGAGGAGCATGCAGGAGGAGGAGGGCGAGGAGGACAAAGCAACGAGGACACACCAGCAGAATCACCAAACACACACAGAGACAACATGGATGATCACATGGTTAATGTCATTCCCCAATTAAACTTGAACATGAGGTTAAAACGAGACCCAGACCGGCGCTGGTTTCTGGCTGACATGCATTTGAAAAAAAGATGTTCAAATGTTTAAAATCCGCCAATTCAATTGCTAGTAAAATTTAAATGCAAATACATGTGTTAAAGCTTTATATTCTCTTATTTTGCAGCACATAAAACATTTATAAAATGTTGTTTTGTAATGGATATCTACCAATCTTTGTGTCAATGCAACCTGTCAGTCAGAAAACGCTGGTCCGAATCCGGCAGCATTAAGATGGGAGTCAGTGGACAACATGGAGAAAAGAGGCTCATCAGGAAGATGGTTTTATGGTCACAATTGGGGAACATTTACTGCAGAAAATCTTTCACTCGGATGAAATCTGCTGATACAACAGCCAAGTTCAACAAACCCACATTGTGTTGGAGGCAACAAGAACGTCCTGCAGAGTGAATAAAGGTTTTGTTCACAATGCAGTGAATTGGCAAATAAAATAGAGTGTAGCTCAACTATTACAGCCTTTTTCCACTGCAGGAACTGCTGTCTCCATCTACTGCAAGGAGAGCTCTTGTTGGACAACAGAAAGGCGTATTTCAGGTAACACTCAGATTGTTTGATGCCGCAGTCGGACTGCTGTAAGTACGACGTCAGACAAACGATGCATTAAGACTGTACGATATCCATCCATCCGGTTTGGATTGATCTGTACAGAACCACAGCTGGTCTTTCGTCATGATCTTCGATCAAACGTACGAAAATAGGTCTGATAACTCCCACGTCATGTCGGGGATCAGACGCAAGATTCTCAAGGAATTCACAGACTTCTAGTAGTTTGATTTAAGGTGACATAAACTCAAGATTTATCCCCACTAGCGGTAGATAGAAACACGCAGATACCAGTGCCCACCTCAATGCATGGAGACCAAACAACTCACTGAATCCTTGACCCCAGTAGTTAAAGGTTACAGTGGCTGTTGTTTAGTATCCAGTAGAGTTAAGATTCACTGTAAACCAACACAAAGCTGGTCGGGGTGATCATCTTCATCCTGTCATTAAACATTTCCCTACCAGGATCACACTGTCTCCATCTAGAGGTCAGAAGGGCTCACTGGAGGCTTCAGTGCTCATGATGTGAATCACAGGCTGTGGTCTTAAAGTCACCGGACCTCAACTCAAATGACACCAGTGGCAGATTTTGTGAGACAGCTCTGTCCAAAACCAACATAAAACCATGAAATAAGGAAATATCTATTGAAAGAATGGTTTTTCATCTCTTCAATAGGTGGCCCCAAACCTGGCCAACACAACTCATGGTTGTTTTTCCTTTAATTTGTCACCGTCTGTATGAATCAGTGACACAGGACACAGGTTCGTCTTCACGCATCATGTGACTAACATGGCATGTGATTAATTAAGTATAATCCTCTCCTACATATCCATTTCACAATGCTACCATGAATAAAAACTTAATTCACAAATCTGTTTTTAACTACCATTTTTGCAAAATGTTTGCACAAATTAAACATACAGTGCATCAGCAGTTACACTACTTATACACAGTTTTAAAATCTTGATGGCTGTTGAATAAAAATGTGTTTTTTTAATTTAATGAAGCATTGACAGTCACTTGCATCCATTCATATTAGCTTAAGAGACTGACTGCTCTTTGCAATATATCAAATTCAGCAGTAAAGTATTGCAAAACAACCTGCGAAATGTTATCCCTGCTGTGTGGTTTTAGCATTTCTTTGATCAAAATATCCAAAGGAAGCTCAAACATCTGATTTTCTACTACATGCACTGGCCTGTGGTGCATCTCACAAGCTGGATGTGGTATCTACGTGTAGATATCTGCACCTACTAGTAAACAAAAGTCTTATTATGTCAGCATGCATCAACTAAAGGTCTGTGCATTCCTTTGAAATGCATCACATTAGATTCTGGCTGTCGAGTAGCTCTGCCCCCTGGTGGCAGACGTGGCGCGAGCAGCCACGGCGGATGGGAAAACCGGCACACAGCAGGTTTAAAGGAGGGATGGAGGATGGAGGGAAGCAATCCGCAGAATTTCACCCTCCCTGCTCTAAAACACCCAAATCAAACACAATCCTTCCTCCCAAAAGAAAAGAAATGCCGCCATGCTGAATAGCGGCTGATAAATAGTTTAACTGACTGTTAAAGGCTTCTGGATTATTAATTTAATGCAGTTCATTAAACCCTCTGAACCCCAAAACCCCAAAACCCAGCGGCAGGTTTGAAAGCATGTTATTATTTTATTTTTTAAATCGACAAACTTACACCAGCTAGAAACTGTAAAAACAGAAGAAGTTATCGGATTGTATTTTTAAAAAACAATTCATTAAAAAAAACTAAATTGATCTGATTGTTTCAATAGAAAAAATTCTGTCAAATCATATAAACCATGACTGAGTCTGCTGCAGGCTGTGCACACGCTGCAGAGAGCAGGAAAGCATAGGAACTAAATAAAAGTGTAGAAATGGGAGAAGTAAAATATCTACAGCATGTAAAGTCCCCATTTTGTTTCTCCCACTATTGGCAACACCTTTCTTTTGCATCTTTACACATCGTGATTTATATTTATGTATTATTCATACATGATGTTTTGGTATAATATCACTAAGTCATGGTGGACATGTTTGAGTTTACTCTACCAATAGCTGTGCAGGATTTTATGAAGCAGAGAAAAATGAGCCCACAGGGTTTAGAAATGTGAGAACACCCAGACCCTGCTCGGGTTTCAAAGAGCTTCATGAAACTGAAGCAAACTAACAGGAATCTGATGTTAATTTTTGATCTCACAACAAAGATTAGGACTAAATGTTAAATTACAAGAACACTTGAAAAACTGATTTAAATCCTTGTCTGGTACTTTTTATGTTGACCTTGTGTAAGATCTTCAGACCATTATAAGTGCATCCGTAGAGCCGTGCTGATTATTTTACCCGTTCAGAAGTGAATCTCTGCTAAAATGTAATATGCTAAACAGAAAAACGAGCCATCGATGCAGCGAACGAAACCCATCTGATAAAACGGATAAATGAGTGGAAACAACGTCTCCTAATCTGTGTGAATAAGTCTGACAGCAGAGGAGGAAGGATGCTTTTGACTGTCCCTAAATACAAACCCTTGTTGTTCTGGTCATTTTCTGATCATATTTCTTGGGAATCCAACTTAAAACCTTCACACATAATAATGATATGAGGTAATCCAACCAACCCATGCACTTGCAGGGATTCATGCTCACGAGGCAGGCACTTAAAACTGTTGAGCTTTCTTTAAAAAACAAAATAAAAACACACGAGCTCCTCAGTGAGGAGCTTAGCATTCTCCAGACTACTCTAGGATGCAGAAAACAGCCGGCGGACTCACAAATAGGGTCCTATAGAGAGAAGCAGTGTTCTCACAAAACACGAGGCCCGCCGCCCGCCTCTCTTTTAAGTATCCAGAGCCCAAGTTCCCCTCGAAGACGCTCTTCGAAGGGGGGAAGGAGGTGAGGAATGACAGGGGAGATGCAAAGAAGAAGAAGAGGAGAAGGCTGAAAAGAGGAAGGTGAAGCCTGCGCTACAAAAGTCAACCGCTGTCAAAGTTCTTTACATCAGAAAACACAAGATCTTTATGACAAACTGCACTAAGCACAAACAAATGAAGCTGACTAAGTCTCTGTACACTATATGAAGGGTTGACCAGTGTGGTTCTATAAAGACCCAGACTGACTATTAGTAATTAAGGACATAATAGATCTTCCAAAATCTGGAAACAATAAACTTAGATGCCTTTTTTTAAATTATTTGATGTTAAAGTTTCTCTTTTCAGTGTTTCTTCTAGTTTTTGGGCCAAAATACTGCAGCGATGGTTCATTTCACCACGACTGCACTAAATGTTCTGTTTGGCTCTAAAAACCAGTGAGTTGCTGCTGTTCCCGCCCCCTTCAGGAAGAAAACTCTCTCTGCATCAACTATTGGTTAGTGGCGTTGAACTCTTACTGGCTAGTGAAGCTGGGAGCCGATAGGCTGCGAGGAGGGACTCAAAGCACTGAAGGTTTATTTTACACCTCCAAGTTTCTAACAACTAGAAAATACACAATAAGAAAAAAAAAAAAAGATTTTTATCATATGGGACCTTTAAATCAAAAATAAAAATGAACATTCAACACTCCAGTGCTGATTGGCTGTTACCCATAACACGTAGCCAATCGGGGCGACAGATTGTGACGACATGTATAGAAAAGTGGCTGCATTGAAGTTAAAGCAGCACATTTTCAAAATAATACTGATAACAGTGGTGCAGTTTGGTTTTTTTCTCTCCACTTTTTTCTACATTTTAAGAATTTCCTGTGGGATTGATAGAAATGTATTTTATTTATTAATCAGAAAATAAGTTTATTATCCAAGAACAGAATCTAAATATTTACTAAGCAAATCAAAGGACCTGCTCCCATCACTTCAATAAATGCTCAATTGCAAGATAAAACATCAAATTTGCTGATTGAGACAAACCTTTTAGGTTTTTAAGCATTATTTTGATTAAATATTGTGGCATCATCTCAATATTGTGTGTAATCTAAATTTCTGGGTTTGTTGTTCAAGTTGAGGTAAATGATTGAAACTGACTTTATAGTTTTACTTTTCTTCACCCTTGTTGAAGGATTTCAAGTCTCTTGAAGCAAGTGAACATCCCTGGATGTTAAAATATGACAAGTTCAGACAGTTAAGACTGAAAATTACTAATAGATTTGATTGTAGAGGAAAAGCTCCCCAAACTCAGTGCAGTTTGCTGGTTGAACATAATTACATTCAAAGATGTTATAACTTAAAAAAGATTGATGAAAACTGTTGTCAGTATCTTACGGTGTATTTATATGGATATAGAGGCTACTTCTTGTGTTATTTAAAACCTTTTCTTTAAAGTTATAGAGTTTTTTTAATCAAATCTCAAACTCTGAGCCAAAGCCTAGACACACATACAGTAACGTATAGAAACAGCTGTCAAGCCAGCAGTATATTATATATATATATATATTATTATTTATACCTACAGAGCATCCAGAGAGTCTTCACAGCGCTTCTACCACATTTTGTTATGTTACAGCCTTGTTCCAAAATGGATTCAACTCATTTTTCCCTCAAAATTTTACACAAAATAAATGTATTAAAAATAAAAAACTAAGAAATCACATGTACATAAGCATTCACAGCCTTTGCCATGAAGCTCAAAACTGAGCTCAGGTGCATCCTGTTTCCACTGATCATCCTTGAGATGTCTCTACAGCCTAACTGGAGTCCACCTGCAGTAAATTCAGTTGACTGGACATGACTTGGAAAGGCACACACCTGTCCATATAAGGTCCCACAGTTGACAAAACAAAACAAGCATGAAGTCAAAAGAACTGTCTATAGACCTCAGAGACTGCCTCAGAGGATTGTCTCGAGGCACAAGTCTGGGGAAGGATACAGAAAAATGTCTGCTGCTTTGAAGGTCCCAATGAGCACAGTGGCCTCCATCCTCCGTAAATGGAAGAAGTCTGGAACCACCAGGACTCTTCCTGGAGCTGGCCGGCCATCTAAACTGAGCAATCGGGGGAGAAGGCCTTAGTCAGAGAGGTGACCAAGAACCCGATGGTCACTCTGTCAGAGCTCCAGCGTTCCTCTGTGGAGAGAGGAGAACCTTCCAGAAGGACAACCATCTCTGCAGCAATCCATCAATCAGGCCTCTATGGTAGAGTGGCCAGACGGAAGCCACTCCTTAGTAACAGGCACATGGCAGCCTGCCTAAAGTCTGCCAAAATCCACCTGAAAGACTCTCAGACCATGAGAAACAAAGTTCTCTGGTCTGATGAGACAAAGATTGAACGCTTCAGCCTGAATGCCAGGCATCACGTTTGGAGGAAACCAGACAGCGCCCATCACCAGGCCAATAGCATCCCTACAGTGAAGCATGGTGGCGGCAGCATCATGCTGTGGGGATGTTTTTCAGCGGCAGGAACTGGGAGACTAGTCAGGATTGAGGGAAAGATGAATGCAGCAATGTCCAGACGCATCCTGGATGAAAACCTGCTCCAGAGCGCTCTGGACCTCAGACTGGGGCGACGGTTCATCTTTCAGCAGGACAACGACCCCGAGCACACAGCCAAGATCTCAAAAGAGCGGCTTCAGGACAACTCTGTGAATGTCCTTGAGTGGCCCGGCCAGAGCCCAGACCTGAATCCGATTGAACATCTCTGGACAGATCTGAAGATGGCTGTGCACCGACGCTTCCCATCCAACATGATGGAGCTGGAAAGGTTCTGCAAAGAGGAATGGGCAAAACTGCCCAAAGACAGGTGTGCCAAGCTTGTGGCTTCATATTCAAGAAGACTTGAGGCTGTAATTACTGCCAAAGGTGCATCAACCAAATACTGTGCACAGGCTGTGAATACTTATGCACACATGATTTCTTAGTTTTTTATTTTTAATAAATCTGCAAAAATCTCAAAAAAACAATTCAAGTTGTCCTAATGGTGTATTTTGTGTAGAATTTTGAGTGAAAAATGAATTTAATCTGTTTTAGAAAAAGGCTTTAACATAACAAAACGTGGTAGAAGTGAAGACTTTTTATTTTAAGTTAAAGATCTGAATATCTATTTTACTCCTGTTCACATGAGCTGCAAAAGCAACACACAACATTAAAACGGGTCTCATTTGTTTGCGGTAATTACGTGTATTTATTATTTATCTACTATTATTATTATTATTTATCCCTTCTACTGTGACATCAATCAATGCTTTACTGTTTGAAAATGCTGAACGGAGTAAAGACACGAGCTTCTGAGAGCATGAACTGCTAACGTTACTGCTGCACACATACTGCAGACATGTGTTCGTAAACGAGCTCTAATGGAGAGAAATGGAATAAAATAAATGATCCAGAACTACTACAACAGAATTCCTAATCACTCGGTTTGTCTTTGCGCTGCACCTTTAAGATGAGACGGAGTGGAGAGCAGAAAAGAAGTTCAGAAAGCAGACAAGCAAGAAAATGAAGCGGCTCCAACAAAATCCACAAACAACTGATTCCTGAGCTTCATGTTTTAAACTTCGTTAATATCAATGAATGTTTAACGCTGACAAAAAATAAACATTAAATCACGAAAAAACTATAAAACAACAACAAAAACAGTCACAAAAACCTGACAGATATTTTTTCACTCCAAATGGTCACAGCAGACTCATAAAGCAGTCTTCTGATTCGCTGCTTGTTCGATGCTTCTTCTCTGCTTTTAATTCCTACAAAGCACTCATTTTATTACACTTTGGCTTTTCGCTGATTTATGTGAAGAATGTGAGAATAGGCGGCTGCTGGTCGACTCACCGGCAGGTTTCTGGCTGAATCCAGGAAGATGACGAGCAGCGCAGATGAAAGGCCGTCGTTGGCTTGACCTCGGTTGGCTCTGATGCTCGTGAGCACCTGCAAGGAAACAACACACAGTAACTTTCCAGGTTCTGGTCGAGGTTCAGCTCCTTTAAAAAATGCAATTTCAGTGGCCGAAGCTGTGCTGCTGTACCTGGTCCAGCTTCTCAGGTGTGTTCAGCAGAGACAAAAACTCCAGTTTGAGGTGCAGCTTCCCTGTAGCCACGTCGTCCATCACAAACCACTGGGGTTGAACAAATGCTTGTTGTTAATGTCAGTATCATGAAAAATACCTTTTCCACCTCCGAGCACATGTTTTATATCCCACATATGAGAAGAAACTATTTTTTGCTCTTTTTAATGGCAATAAATACTCATTAACTCATTAATAAAACTCATTATCAATGATTTTATAGCATGGCAGTAATTCACTGTAAAGCCATTTAAATGAAAAAATTACCAGGATCCATTTTGTCCTACGAAAATGTACTTTTTTTGACATTTTATTTAATATTTAATTATACATTACATATATTTGCTATTCAATTAGTATGTAAATTATTTTAAAGTATTTAAATTACAAAAAAAACCCAGTTTTATTTATATGTTATGACTTGTATAATATCACTGTGTTGTTTGTATAGAACATTTGATGGCATAAAGGTGAAGATGGAATAAAACTTAAATGAGAAAAGATGCAGATCACCTCATCAACCTTCTGCTCCTTCTGGAGCTCGGCCACGTCAATCACCAAACTGGAAAACAAATCAGAAATCATGATGTTTAAATAGCTGTAAATTATAAATGTCCTGATGACATCTTTAAACGTCTCACATTCAGTTTTCTTCACATGAAACAGAAAAGCTGCAAATCTTCACGATAGAAACGCTGGATGGAAAAAAACAACTCATTCTGAGTCAGTTTTCATCTGTTCATTATTTCCATGTAAAATTTGACGGTTTCAGAAGGACGCTAACTCATAGCAGCACATTTCAAGTCATTTCAGTGTAAAAGCTGTTGTCCACATTTCAGATGAACTTGCTCATATGATTTCAATGAGATTTGAAAGCCTCGATATGTAGAATGTGTTGACAGGGCTTCAGACTAACTTTTTCACTGGGAGCACTGGTGCAACCAACCTTCTCATTTGGTCTGACCTCCCACCTTGTCACAAAACATGACTTCCTGAACATTTTCTTATCAATAGACTCTATAAACCGATGTTCCCTGAACGCCCCACATTGCAGGCTGCAGTAGCTGCTGTTGGTATGTGTGGCATGCTCTGACCAAAAACGGCTTTAAAAGTAATAAACTAGGACGCGCCAATGTCAGATTTGTCCGAGATGAAACCGAGTGATTTTTTACATGCGTTCTTTTCTACGAGCGCGTTTAGGTCTGCTCCGCTTTTCACGAGAAGGCCTCATTTTTAAGTGTAAATACGGCAGTCCACCCAAGTTACAGAAGTGCTGCTCTAAACCACGGTGGTTAACACAGTCGCTGCCTGCGGTCACAGCGACACTCAAACAGCTTCATGATCATCATGCACTCGTACTAATGCAACTGCTTGAAATGTTAACAGTCTGGTTAAGGACCAAAACTCAGGTTTTCTTTGAATCTAAATGATTTAAAGTTGCTGTTAAGGACTGTATTTCATCAAGTCTGTAACCAATTCATCTTTGATGCATAAAATGTTGAAGCTGAATGACAATCATAAGGTCTTCAAAAGTTGTTTTTCTTCCTGATCAAACACCCTAAATATGCACAAATGTTCAGCTAAAACTGATGCAACCCAGAGAAAAGCTGCACATCTTCATATCAGAGGAGCTAAAACGAGAAGATGTTTTTGCATTTTTGCTGGATGTTTGAGAAAATATTAATTTGATCATTTCAGAATACGCTCTGAGAACCTGAACATTGACTATAATCATGAGGAAGAAAGTGCGACGACTCAGTTGAAATTTGTAAAATGTGATATTCAAGTTTAAGGTCTCAGACATTTATATCGATTAAATCATCTCGTGTTTGTTCACCAGAACTCTGATGTCCAATTATTTGTGAGAAGCAAAGTTAAGTTATTCAGGTGCAGGATTAATGCTGAAAAGTAAGAACTAAGCAGCATTACCTTCCCAGGAAGTCGTCTTTATCAGTGTCTTCATCAAACAGCTCAATCTCCAGATTCTGTCCAGAGGAATCATAAACCAAAGCCTGAAAACACAACAAACTTGTGTTAATGCAGAGTTCACACACAGTGGGATCAGCATGACTTTGGGTTTCAGTGAATTGGTTTTTTGAAACCAAACATGACGTGGAACAATTCAACAGCTTCACATTTTCTGGAACAACATTTAGCAGCTTTGGGTTCAGTTTCAACCAGACAATATTCTGACAATAATATGAAACAAACTCTTCATTGTTGGTCGCTAATTAAGTCAGGAATACAGGTAAAAACCTAAAATGTAATCTGAAAACGTCTCATGGACAGCTGATACTTCACTAAGATGTCCCTCTTACTCTTGACTTTCACTTTCTCTAAAGCGTAAAGCATTCGCTCTGTGCATGTGTGCCAGTGTTCTTGGTGTAAATTTACACTAAATGCATATCTACACATGGCTAATTGTGAAAACACAGCTGCTCACTAGTGGAATAATGAGAATATATGTTTCCAGGATCATTCTCAAAAGCTCTATCAGGTTTAAGCAATGATGTTATTTATCCAGTGTAACCAAACCTTCATATATTTAACTGTTATGAAGCAAATGGTGACATTTTGAATCATACTGTGTGAACATGGGCTGATTTGACACAGAAGTTTGAACAAAACAGCATTCAGTGCAATGATTTACTGAAGGTATCGAACTTTTCTTCAGCTTGTTGTGCAAATGCAAAAAAAAACAAAACTAAATCAAAGAAATAAAAAACGATGCTAAATATGTGGAATACTGTTGAACACCACATAGCTCACCTCGTACACTTCGTTCCACTTCGGGTTGACTGTCTCGTGGATCACTTTGCTCTGGAACAGCTGCGTCCCAAGCTGGATGACTCCGTATGGGTCGGACTTCCCTTTGATCAGCCCTCCCAGGAACTTGTCTTTACCCAGCAGGTCCTGGGCCTCGATAAAGTGGATCCTTAGGAGACCCTGCAAGTCACGGAGATCTGGGTGAGGAGTTTTTAAAGCCACCAACAGAACCGTCCTACATATCATCCATACTTTAACCTTAATGGAAACATGGAGTTTTTGCAATGAACGAGTGAAAAAGTGATGCCAGAGTCGAAGAGTTTCTTCCGAGGCTGCAAAATCTGCCACCAAACATTAGTGAAACCGTCACAAAGAAGAATCTGCAGGTCAGCTCAGAGAGCATCTGGTATTTATGTAGCAATAGAAAGCTGAAGTAAAACAAGATCACACAGCTCCCTTGGATCGAAAGCTTATTCTAAAAAAAGACTTTCAGGTAAAAATCACTGCAGCAGAAATCAAAGCTGTGACGTTATAAAGGTAAACATGGTAGCATAGGTACACGGCACAAAAATTCCCTCATCAGATGAGATACGACAAAATACAATAAAACGTTATGAATAGAACTGTTTTTTTTGTCCCAAAGTAAAGTCCTTGATGATAAAAGCACACACACACGAGCTTTAAGTTAATTCAACTTTGCAAAGCCTCTCCATGACATGAAATGCAAAAGGAAAGGAATACAAAACTTTAAGGGACACTTTTGCAGTGATTTAAAACAGGTCTCTGTGGGCCAATGTAGAAAAACTGAGTTTATTAGAGCAAGTATTGTGAGCTCCGTGATGATTATTATTCATACTCACTACAACAATATAAAACTGAGAAAAGCAGCAAACTATGACATTGGAGAAGCAGAAACCAGAGAATGTTTGGTATTTTTGTCACTGATTATTTGACTTCAGCTGCATTACCTTGGGAATGGGGAAGCGGAGCTTGGCCAACTCGGCTTCTCCCACCAGAGGGATGGTGATGCGGTTGGGCAACACCAAGTAGCTGTAGATGATGTCCTGGATAATGTTGTCACACAAACCGCTGAGAAAGACAGGTAGAGGCAGAGAGAGAGGTGAATAACAAGGCGCTCATTTGTTGGTTAAATTTAAAATCTCATCGCGGCCGTCACTGGTTTAGTTTCCTCTTCACCTGCAGGATGCGTCAACATCTGCAGCTATCTAATGTGTGCACGGACCAGCGTGCTCCAACATGCTCGTCTCTGGTTTCAAAAACTATTAATATGAGACTCATGTGCTGATTAACAGGCTGAAAGACAAATCCTCACTCAGCAGGCTGCATGTATATTAATACTGAAGCCCAGCTGCTGTTCAGGCGCACTGACATAAGATACCGTAATGCTGAGGAGACATGAGCTCAGCTTGTGCTTGATATGCACATGACGCCTACAGTCTGACTCTTGTGTGTAAATAACTCAAAATCTGAAGATCTGAGGGATCGACTGCCCCAGTCTTTGCATCATATCACTTACACTAAATAGCGAGGTGTATGTTCATAAACACATTTACAGACTGGAGCATGAAGAAGAAGCCTATCCCTGTGGAGCTGTTTTGTTTTGTTTTGCTTCTGTCACATTTTCCTCACTGTGGGCTCAAAAATAAAATGAAGCTCAAAATAAAGTCCTGCACCTTGACGGAAACAGCACAACCACGACTAAAAGTAGATGGAACTAAAAAAAAGTTTGTGCAGTATGACACGACTTTAATGCAAAAATCATAAAGAATGTCTTTGATTATTTATTTTACAAAAATGGAAAACTTGGAGCCAACATGTGCAACATTTTTCAGTGTCATGAGCAATACAGTGAAAACAAGTGTTGGCTCTACTACTATACTACTATACTATTTCCATTCTTTATTTGTGTTTGTATTTCCCTCTGTGTAAACACTTCCTGCAGTTCACCTGAAGCCTCAGACCTCCTGTCAGCTGATCATCAGATTCACTAAGGACAGAAGTTTTTGCAGAATATCGTCAAAGCAAAGATTTTTTTTTTTAGTAAATTTCAAAATGAGACATGTAGAAATAAAGTGATATCGATGACAAGTAAAACTTGCTACAATATATGTGAGGCAACTTAATTTGCTTTTACTTTATTTTAGTATTTTTAATATCTTTTATGTTCTATTTTACATTATTTTTAAAATTAAAGCAGTCCGAGTTGCACGTGTTGCATGAAAGGTGATACACAAAGAAATTAGAATTAATATTTGCTGCTGTTTCACCTCTATTCCTCTAGATGGCAGCAACGTCCTGCATCAGAGAACCTTCAGTAGCTTCATGACGTAATAAACCCCGTGTCGGAGCTGATTCTGGGTCAGTTTAACTTTGGGATTTCCAGTGAATGCACAGTTGGTTTTTGAGTTGACGTGCTGATTCCTGAACTGCTTGTTCACTGAGCACATAACCATGACCAGATGGGAGTTAGATGGTGCAGTTCTGCTGCCTGTCCCGTCATTAAACACCCACTGAGGTTTCCACACATCCCATCATGCCTATAAAAGGAGCTTGTTTTTGTATTGGAATGAACTGTGTGTGTGTGTGTGTGTGTGTGTGTGTGGCTGCTATTCACAAAGAAAGCAGCTGAGGGTGACTTCAGGTTCTGCTGCCGTTTCAGGGCAAAATGCAAATATGAGGGGATATGAGTGTCCTCAGACTGACAGAAAGAGGAGGAGGGTGGGGCGAGTGCAGGTCTGCAGCAGCACACACAAGCGATTTCCTTCAAACTTGTTGAACAAGGAAAGCTACATTTCTCAGGGTGGAGTCTTTTGAAAACCGCAGTGAGTTTCTCTACTGAAAACAAACACAAAATACCAACAAGAAGCTGCTACAGGTCAACACAGAGCTAGCAGTGTGGGAGGGGAGTTAATCTCCTTCAGGGTCTGTGTCAAAAGTGTTGTTTGTATAAAATGGGCTTTGAGGTGTATTAAAATTTCTGTCCATCCATTTTCTAAGCACCGCTTTATCCTCTGTAGGGTCAAGGGGGGCTGGAGTCTATCCCAGCTGACGTAGGTGAAGGCAGGTATATCCTGGATAGGTTTCCAGGCTACCACAGGGCCACATAAAAAATAGGCTTTGCAGTTTTGAGTTAAGTATAAGCAGCACTTTGGGCCAAACTGAAATATCTTAACAAAGACTGGAGGGACTGTCAAGAAGGCCCAACCCCTACACTGATCCCAGTGGGAGGTGGGAATACCTGGGGGTGACTCCATGATGGTTTTTCGGGCAGGGCTCAGCCTCCGAGATCGGGCGAGGAGCTCAGACATCCAGAGGGAACTCTGAGTAAAGCCTTCACATTGAAAGGAGGTGGTTCAGGCATCTGGTTAGGAGGATCTTTACAGCATGTTCACCTGAAGGACACTCCGAGGTAGACACAGAGCTTACTGGAGGGACTACGTATCTCAGAGGATGGATCCGAATGTCTGGTGTTCCCCTGACCCACCATTAGGTTGAGATTCATCATTATCAGTAAAACACCACAACAAGCTGTTTTCCTCAGAGGGAGCTTGCAGCACATTTAACGCCGTCCAGGGGATAAACAAGTAGCTACTCTGGGGGAGATACTTTGGAGCTGCCCTGAAAAAAACTGCTGGGTGGGGCTCAATGCTAATTGGTTAAGCTCAGAAAGGACAAAGAGCACCAATTTTCTGCCATAAAACCACTTTAGAAATCATGATAAAGGCAACAGCTCCTTCTTTAACTCCCACCATGAAATACCTTGACTTTAATTGACTTATGTGAAAGCCTTAAAACTTGTAGAGATCTAAAGTGAACCTACTGGCAAACAAAAAAACAGAGACCAAAGAGGAGCATGTGCAGTGATCAAGCTTTCATTGTATGTATATTTCTGCTGAACCATCTTTTCCACTGTAAAAGAATGACCAAGAGTGGCCAGTGAACTGGATTTGGCAGGCGTGTTTTCTACTTTAATGGGTAACAAGGAGCCCTAAAACATAAAAACTGAAGAACGCTACATGTTTCTCAAGATGGACAATGCGGTAAAAGAAGTACCATCTGTAAAACGCATCTCCTTAATCCACCCCAACATCACATCTCTGTCTGTGGCGACTCTCCTTTCATAATCACATTACTAAAAATACCAACACTTAGCGAGGAAAAGGAAAGGTCATAATCCACTCTGTGATCCAGTGGTTAATGTAATGGTTTCAGCAGCAGAGCTTGAGGGCCTGGCAGGCCACTCAGGCTGAGAGTCCACCGGGATCGGCTCTTCAAAGCTTCATTTTCTCATCACACTGAATGGAAAAAGGGCTCTGAGGGCTTGGCTTCAGAACGGATAAGTCTGACAAAGATTTAAAAACATTGGAAGAGCTTCCTATAGCTTCTTGTTTTAATCCTCTGGACTAAATCATGTTTGTTTCTGAGTTCTTCAAATGAAACTAGTTTGCCTTCTTTATACAGATCCATAACTTTACAGATGCCCCTTATTGCCCACATTCCAACACCTTGGTCTTTTCTGCCAGGAGAGAAACTATCATTCCCCCATATTGGTGAAAATCCTGAAAACAAAGTAGATTCACCAAGAACTGACTGTACATTGTGCCAAACATTAATTGTGCTTCTCACAAAGGGGTCATCAGTCATTTGCTTCAACTTCTTGACAGGTGCAGAGTACAAATAGGTGTCAAGTCGCAGGTCTTAAGCACAAATGCTTTCAGTTTGTACCCACAGTAAGTAAGGTTTGGGTGAGAACCAGTGTGTTGCAGCTCTAATTTGAGCAGCCCAAAAATACCATCGTAAGTTGGGTAATTGTAGTCCTCCTCTCTCGTATGGCAGGTAAAGAAGTGATAGTCTCAACCTTGACCTTCTGTTGTTCCAAATAAATCTGCTCCATAAAAACACTGACTGCAGTTCAGCAAAGAAGTACATGACTTTTGGTCACAGCTCAGTCACTCATAACACCAAGGAGTGCAGACTTTTACTGATGTTGGTTACTGACAGCAGCTTATATTTACCAAATTTTACAATGAGACACATGCAATAAAATGCTTTAAATGAAATATCACCATTTTATGAGTAGTTCAGGTACCATCTGAAAGTTAAAACTTCTTTCTGTTTTCAGAGTCCAGCTCAGATAAATGGTGGCATTTTGGTGATTTCTTTGAAAATATTGTGCTTTTTAAACCAATAGAGGGGTTCTAGGGTTCTGAGAGTTCAAGATAGTTATTTTTCTATTGCAGTTGACAAACAGCTGATTTTAAGTCAGTATTTGTCTGTGGTACAAAAAGAGGACACAAGTAGAGCCACGTCAATAACTCTGCAACACCTTTCTGTTTTTAATTAGAGACTGTACTCAGTATTTTTTCCATGTCAATCAAAAATGTGCAAATATGCATTAAAACCAGCACCTGAACAAGCTGTGTTAGGCATCATGTTCAAGATAAAAGTTTGAAATGAACTGAAAAACAACCAGGCAGCTGGAAAAAGTATAACTATGGATGCATAATAAGAACTAATTAATGTGCTTCAACCAAATGTTTTCTCAAAAAAAACTGGTTTGATTCCATGTTGCATGACCCACTACACATTCAAACACATTAATGTCTCTTTCCCAAACTGAGAAAGTTTTCACAACTACAATAATGAATACTTACAGATGATTATAATAATTTATGATGTAAGCCATTCAGGGTTAAGACATATTTTGGGTTATATCTTTTTGCAGCTGGCAAACAGTTTGCAGAGCGGACAAATTGGCAGCAAACCTCAATTTTTGTGCCAGAATTTTATTTGATTATTTATTTATATTTCAAGGAGCTCAACAGACAGATGCAAAACTTCTTGGACGGGGAGCACAAGGAAAATAGGTCTTCTCACAATGTAAACAAAGATGGCAGCAAAGGTTTAAAGTGCTTCTCTGGTCGCTGATTTAACCCCCAAAAAATCTCATCTCATCTCTAATCATTTAAAAAAAAAAAAACACACACTATGCAGACAAGGTGGAAGGTTTTGGTCTGTGAGGTCTTTAACTTTTCAGGCTCCAAACCTCTACAAACACACAACATTGATTCTGCGTTGTTGGGGACAACGCAGTCACCTTCATGTTACAAACTAAAGATCTAAGCTGTGCATTGATCTGAATGTCACACCAGCTCATCACTGGTCAGTCCTCTCTTCCATCTGCCGTGGTGTCAGGGTGAGAATGAAGCATGCTGAGGCATTGTGTTGACGCTCTGCATTTCATTTGAATGTGGCATTTGAATTCATACATTCTAACATCATTTTGGCTTCTGATAATGTGCCCAACATTTGCATTGAAAAGCACGTTTTAGTTAGAGCCTGCCAAAGCTAACCCGTATTAAAACTTCAATCCAGCCTATTATGAGCCTGAAACACTCACATAAAGCAAGGCATCACCTCGATTTTTAAACCAAGAGATGAGGAAATAAAGTTTATACGGCCATAAACGAGAATGAAATGCTCATCAAATGTTCTCAAATAGAAATAATGGAATTAACGGAGGCCTGCACAGCTACATAGAACCCACTGTGATGAAAGCCTGTACTCAGTGTGAAGACATCTCCACATCATGTCTGTCTAAAAAGCAGCTCTCTCTTGTTTTTAAATGCATGAACCATCTGGTCATGATTATTAAAGCAAGCTGTGTGTGTGTGATGGGAGTCTGACTGCATGACTTTTACCAACATAATAAACTGGTGCAGCAGATGTACAAAAACAACTGACACACACACTGAAATAATGTCCCGTTCTGACAGGGCTCGTTTCTCTGAACGTGGAGGGAGATTTCAAATTACCCTCCAGTGATGGTCAGTGACTTTTATCCAACCCGGAGCTGCTGCTTTCTGCAGCATGTGTAGCTTGTTTATATATGAAACAAGTCGACCATTATAACAAAAACAACTCTGTGCCACCCTCAAAGCTGATAGCATCTTATAAGCTACAAACATGTGAAATTAGGACTATAAGTTTAAGTGCTACTGTTGTTGCATTATTCAGAAAAAAACCTTCCAAACTTCCTTTGATAATAACCTGATAGTGCACCCTGCCTACATTAAAGGCCATCAAAGTTTCTTTCATCAACAAAAAATATTTTACTATTACAACAAACTAGAATACAGTTAAAGTTTCAATAAATAAAAAAAGGTTCAGACTTTCAACTTTGCAACACTCCTTGAAGCAACATGTGTGATTTTTAGATGTGTCCATAAAAGAGAACCAAATCTAACTTAAAATCATATTTTCTTAAAATCACTTTATTGTTGTTACGTGTCGTTTGAAAATTTTCCAAAAATAAAGCCTTTGCTCTCACCAGAGTCCATACAAGACAACTGAGAAGTCATGAGTGACCTAAGAGACACTAACAGTCTTGTGGCAAAAATTCAGGGACTTTTCAGCTGAAGTCAGGCGCTGTTTATGTGGAGCAGCATTGGAAACACAACATTGGTATGTATTAGTAAAAAATATAATCCAAGAAATTCTGCTTTCATTATTTCTTTTTGTTTCATGATTTATGACATGTTAGCTCTGTCTTACTGCACAGAAGACATTTCTAAGTTCTGTAGTCATGGTTGTGCTGTTTCCACACAGGACTTTAAATTGCAGTGAAAAATTAGCAAAAGAACAGAGAGAGAAAAAAAAGAAAACGGCCCAGAAACTGTTTGGTGTTTAGCAGAAACAGAAGTAAATATATATGTTGAATTATATTACATACATATAAAACCAGCTTGGTGAGGTTTTTGTGTCAAACCAGCGGAAACTGAAACACAACTAAAACACAACATACACACCAAACTGGAAGCCAAAGCAGCACAGACCTGAAACATAAAACGTACAGATGGTTGTAAATCCTTCACATGGTCACACTGAGCGACTTACTTGAGACCGGGGATGTCCAGCATGTTTGTGAGTCCCGTCCAATTGATGTCCAGCAACTGAAAGACAGAAGAGAAGCCTGACTTAGAATTTGACAAAAGATAAAAAGAGGAATAAAAAAAAAAAAAAAAAAACACTTTTGCTGTTTCGAGGTAAAAATGGATCAATGTGTGAGAAACATACGAAAAGTTTGCAAAACTGTGAGATTTGTCAAGTTTTAGGTCAGTTTTGTCAGAAACTCATGTGGGTGGGCTGCAAAAATGTTTTTTAAAAAGTATCGTTTTGTGACTTTTTTAAGCATTAAAAACATAAAATTTATTTTATTTGTCTATTTGACCTGGAACAACAAACAGACAAACTAATGCTTCTCACAAGAGCACAAAAGAAATAAAAGCGTACGATCCTATTACAGTACATTAAGAGGATATTAGGTCATAAATAAATACATAAACTGAATGTTATGAGCAAATATTGGCAATAATTTTAAATTAAATACCACTTGAGTCTTTTAAAAAGTGGGTCAGTCTAAACATTTCTGCTGTTTTTCTCCATTAAAAGTGAACTTGACTATTTTCAACTCCATCAGAAATGTTTCACACAAATAAAGAGTTTTACAAATGTGATGTTAAAATTCAACACTAACTCCTGAGAGAAGCCGAGTTCTTCTTCTTCTTCTATCAGCTGCTCACTGATGCCGTCATGACTCAGCAGAGCCGAGCTCTTAATTCAATCGACCCATTGATCAATACAACAGGGCAGGTTGAGTTAACCTTATTGCGCAAAGGAAGTATGTGATGAGACGCTGCATCCGGCTGATATTACATTAACAAACAACCAGCTGGGAGATAATTAACCTGTAGTTAGATCAGTTTAAGGGACAAAAATAAATTCTCATCACCACCAGAAATGAAGAAATTTGAACTTCTCGTGGATCGTTATGGAAACAAACCCACAGTTCAGCAACACTTCTGCAGTTTAACACACACATCACACATTTGAGCCTTTCCTCCTTCCAAGTTGTTAAATGTGGTCGTAAATATTCAGCAGAGGTCAACAGGCTTGCTGTCAAATTAATGTTAAAAAGTCCATGTGGTGCTTTTTGTCTTTCTCCCCTTCACTTCGTGTGTTACGAAGCTGCTTTCTTGTGTATGTTAAAGGGCTGCAAACTTACAAAGGACAAAGTCAAACAGCAAAGAAAGTTAGTCACAGAAACACAACTATTTCATTCGCATCAGTTTTCTCTTTGCAAAAAGTAAGACAAAGTCAATAACTGTAATATTATCTGTCTTTAAATCGTACAAAAACTACCAACTCTGTTAAAAAAAAAAGAAAAAAGCTGGATTCTTAAATTATAACAACCTTTTGAACCCACTGGCAGGTTTGAAAGGCATGTTGTTTATTTTTTTTAAATTGCACAATTCACCAGAGCCAGAAACTGTAAAACCACAAGAATCGCTGGATTTTCAGCTTTCCAGCTGTCCTTGAACTAACAATGTGTGACTTTCAGTTCTGTTCTACTGGGGAAATTAACCAAACCTAAACTAAAAATCAAGATATTTTATTGAAATCACTTCATTCTACATGTCACTTTTAAACACTCACCAAACGGTTTGCAGAAGATTCTGCAAAAAACAAGCATATTTTGTGCTCCTTTTTTTCAACTGAACTGCAGGCTGTGTATACACAGAACATAGAAGAGACAAGTCTGGAATTAAATGAAAAATATCAACTAATAAAAGAGTCAAAGTGTGCAGAGTTGTCATTTTTTCCCCGAGTATCCGTAACAGCTGTGGGCACACAAAAATGTTGTCCATGTAGTTTCCAGGTTTTCTCCTTCTAGCAATGGTTGTGCTGTGTTCAGAGGGTTGAGTTGTAGATTCATTACACCAAACAACTGAACTGTTTTCATTCCCCCGATACTTTCAAGGATTCAATAACAGATTCAAAAGGATATGGACTCTAAAAGCTGAATTCACATTCAGGAACATCTCTACTCTCATTCAAACAGTGGCTCCATGACCTTTTGAGACGGGTAACAAAAAAGAAAAACAAATCCAATGGAGCCTCAGAAATAATGTAGACACAATAAAAGGGGTAACAAATAGATCTGTTCTCCTCCACAAGGCTTTCAGCGGTTCTGGTTCTGTCGATACGCAGTCCGGCTGCACCTTTGAGCTGCACACAAAGCACACAGTGAACATTATGAACGGATGTAGTCCTTGGTGCAGGAACCTGCTCTCCAACAGGTTTTTTTTGGCATTACATGTTGCAAGTTTGCTTGGATGATCAAACCCAACACTGCAAGCAGCAACATGCTCCCTTCACACAGTTACAGTTTTATCAGAGGAATCACAAAGGAAGCTTAATCAGGATTCTGGCACTCAGAATGGGGGCCTAACCTGGTTTTCTAACCCAGTTACCAGGATTGTATCGTGGAGCTTTTTCCTAGTTACCTGAGGATCTGGATTACAAGAGGCCTTCAGTTGCTGCAGTAACTACTTTGGCTGAATCACACATACCTGACACACCCTGATATTAACCGTGTGTTATATTACTGCGACTAACAGCGGATCAACAGCAGCTAAACAAGCAGCCACACTGCAGACAGCCGCGACTGTGGCAGGTATAAGGAGATGAAAGCCAGTGGCAGAATTAAAACCAGCATCGTTCTCCTCCAAAATGTTCAGACGGACTTGACTTTGGGGGCACACATAGACTGATGCATGGTTTCTATCCAGAGAATCTCAGCAAGGTGCGGCCGACTAGCAGCTCCATGTTGGCAAATGCAAAAAACAATAGGAATGCTAACTGTGAAATACAAAAGAACAGTTTTGTGATTGTGAATAAATGTTGATTGCTGTGGATAAAGGAAGTAGTTTCCCATGTTTTCGTAGCCGACAGCGTTTATCAAGCGATGGGCCACCATGAAAGAGGCTTGTGTAGCAGTTCATGGCCTCCAACCAACCAGTGATATGCAGAAAACCAGCCCATGTTTACCAGGACAGTGCTCCTATACATGAGTGGCTAATGAAGACATGGTGAATGTGTAACAAACAGAGTATCTGTGCTTACAGTTGGTCTAACCAGGACATGGAAAAATAGCCATTGTACTTCATTTGCTCTAACAATTAGTTGATTATTGATTGATTGATTGCGTGGCCGACTGTAGACAAAAGCATTTAAAATTTGCATCTCTAATTGTAAACATTTTAGCATTACGCTATCACCTTCATGAAGGCAAAGAGGAGGAAACAAACAGTGACGACCAGATCTGGTTGAAACAGGCTGAGACAGAGAGCGCCTTTATCCCCGTAATCAGAATGACTTGATTTTTAGAGAGTAAACAAATCAATCAGAACTGCAGAGCAGAAATACACCGTGAAGCAGTCTCAGCCTGCAGTGCTCCTGCAGCAAATATGTACCGACTGCTAGTCAGTGTTCATCATCACACATCCACTCTGAACCGTCCAGTTCACAGGACAGTCACCAGACTAATGTTGGGAAGTCAGCCGGCTCAAAATAACACCATGTCACAGACCGTAAAAGGAGTGTGAGCAGGGCGGCAGGTGTTTAGGTTAACAAATATGTGGACTTAAGCTGGAAAGACGTGATGGCAGTGCTTTTATTACACATTACTAAGACAGTACGAGCTCACGAGTTGGTATATGTAGGACTCAAGAGAGAAACGTGTGTGTCAGTATGTCTGAGATTAAACCGTGAATCTGAAAAAGGTTACGAAAGAGGCTTAAACTGTCAAATGCTGGGAGCCGTCATTATAAAGCAGATGAAGAGCGATGAGGAAACCTGATGCTTGAAACTGCTGAATTTTCTGCACATATAAAGAAAAATATGTCTGACAGGAGGCGATATGTGTTTTAAACATTACATCAAATTGAACAAGTGTGACATTGTTGATAATAATAATGACATTTAAGCTTGTTGAACTATACTGCAGACCAAAAATTTCTCCATAAGAAGCTTACGTTTCTTTCCTTCTTTTAGAGAAATATTGCCCTGACGAACAAAGGAAATGTACAATACAGCCAACGTCTGTCTGTGGCCTAGTTAGCACTCTTGATGTAGACTGTGGTGGACCACAATGCTGCTCTGCCAGGCTGGCACAGGAAGAGAATGAACACAGCAGGGGATTTCACACAAGAAAAACACTATCACTGAAAAAAATTAGCATTACATAAGAGTCAATAACGCTTTTGATTCCAACATGAAAAGTCCAGAAAATCTTGTGCGATCATAGTGACGATGTGCACAAACTGCTCTTTTCTAGGTCCTCTTTGATTGTTCGTCAATTTAACTGAAAAAACTAATTTAAGTTCTGTCCTGCTGTTGTTTGTAGGGTTGTCTGTGGTCATCAATCTACAGATTTTAGAGCAGAGCATTAAACTATAAAACTTGATTTTCACAATTATTGTATATTTTATGTTATTATTATTGTATTTGTCAAATGTAGCTGTGGGAAAACAGAAACATAACAAACCAGGTCTGACTTACAGAGATGTTTCCTCCTGTTACTACTGCTGTCCTGATCAAGTTTTTTTTTTATTAATTATTTAGAATCTGTTGATACCATTCTCCTAAAAATATACACCTTAAATATTGCAGATTAACTGTAGTACCGGGTTTTGCCACCAGGTGGAACTTTTAACTGTTTAATAGCAACCTGAGGAAGCATTACTCAGGCTACAGGTACGAACTGGTAAGCAGAGAGCATTGTGACAGCTAAGCTAATAATACGCCCACCATGACAAAGTCTTCTGTGATTCTTAATGGCCTCCAGTCAGAGTCTGAGTGTTTAAAACAAAGTAGGTTCAACTAGGACAAGACAAATGTCCACTGTGCTAAATTTGTTTTAATAATTAACGATTTACTCTTGATAATGCTGCATTTATTAGCAAAATTACTTTCTTGTTGCTCTCCCTTTACAACACCTGTGTGACCATGGGTGTTAACAAAAGACTGGGGTTAGGATTGTACCAACTGATCCTGATGTTGATATCACATCCCTACAGTTTCTTTATGGAGGTATTTGAGTCAAAGGTGATAAAGGACAGCCCTGCAAAAGGTTTTCTTGTTATTCAGTTGCACTACGTCAATATTTAAAATGCTGTAATGGCTCTTTCATGCAGCTTTCAGCTACATATCACTGTCAGCCAGGGGAGATGTGAAGGTGAGAAAAAGGTTTCAAAGGTAATCATTACAAAAATAAGACAGACTTGGGAAGAGGTCTTACACTGCTGGTCTGCTTCTGTGTACAATGACATGTTAAAATCTATTGCAGAATCAAGTCAGCAGATGTTTAACTATTTCTAAAAATGTAATTGCTTCTCTCAAGTTCTCATGCCACAAAAATCCCAAAAGGACAAATCTTTCATTTCTCCAGAACAAACAGAAAAACAAGCTTTCTGGCAAAGCTGCAAAACACATTCCCTGCTGATCTACAAGGACAAAATGCACTGATAACCCCACATTGTAATGAGGTGATGTGGAACCATCACTGCTGAGTTTATATGAAACCAAAGCAGTACTTCAGTAGCACACCTCTGTGTAGACGGTCGGATCTGTAAACCAGACTACACATTCCCCATTCACAGTGAAAGCACTCTTCTGCTGTTGCTGGCAGCCACAGTGGCAAGACGTTCAAATAATGCAGAGCAGATTATAAACAGACTACGGCTGGTATGCCAATCTGTGACGTCACTAAAACAACACACCACAACGCTCCATTGTTACGAGTCAACTCGGGACAAGTGAAGTAATTCCTGCAGTTTAAAGCTATAATTTTCTAGTTTTAGTCTTAAACAACCCATGCATTATTCCAAACAGAATACTTTTTGTGTTTCTGGTTACAACATACTGCAGCCTTACAAAACTCATGCTGCTGCATGCAGAAGATTTTTCTGAGTTCTTTCTACTTCTAGTCATGGTTGTTCTGCTTCCATAGAGGTGAAGGTCTTTATATTGCATTGGAAAATGAGCCTAGAGTGAGGAAAAATATGACAAAAAAGACCCAGAAACATGCTTGGAGCACAGAATTGAAATGCAGACACTGAAGGAAATGGACAAAACTCTCCAGATTTAGTCATGTTAATTATTTGGTAGATTATATTTGCTCTGTCTCCTCCATTTAGAAATCAAAAGTCTTGTATGTAACTGAAAGTCCGTTCTCAGTGCACATGGAATGGAAATGTAAAGTTATATTAAATAATCATCCTACATCCACCCAACCGGTGGAGGCAGATGGCCGTCCCTCCCTGAGCCTGGTTCTGTCGGAGGTGTTTTTACCCCCGCGGGGGTTTTCGGTTCCTTCCCATCAGCAGACTGCTGAAGCTTATAGAGAATCCAGATGTTTGGATTGTTGGGTGTTCCTGTCTTTGTTAAGCGCTATGAGATGACTTGTTGTTGTAAATATCCATCCATCCATCAGGTCGCAGAGGCAGCAGCCTTAGCAGAGCCGCCCAGACTTCCCGATCCGCACACACCTCCTCCAGCTCTTCTGGGGGGACCCCTAGGCGTTCCCAGGCCAGCTGGGAGACATAGTCCCTCCAGCGTGTCCTGGGTCTTCCCCGAGGCCCGGAACACCTCCCCAGGGAGGCGTCCAGGAGGCATCCGGAAAAGATGCCCGAGCCACCTCAACTGGCTCCGTTCAACGTGGAGGAGCAGCGGCTCTCCTCCGAGCTCCTCCCGGTGACCAAGCTCCTCACCCTATCTCTAAGAGAGCGCCCTGGAGCCAGGCCTGGGGTTGGGGCTCATATGCAAGCGCCTGGTGGTCGGGCCTTTGCCCACGGGGCCCGGCCGGGCTCAGCCCGAAAGGACGACGTGGGCCCGCCCTCCTGTGGACTCACCACCCACAGAGGGAGTCACAGGGGTCGGGTGCAGAGAGGACTGGGTGGCGGTCGAGGGGGGTTGCCTCGACGGCCTGGTCCGCATACACAGCCTCTGTTGTAAATATGCGCTATACAAATAAAATTGGATTGAATAATACTGGTACATAAACTCTGCACACTGAAGTAGATAGCTAATAAGTGGAACACTTAGAAAACAGAATTAATTTTGAAGCCTACAGCCCACTAAAGGGCTTTGGCTAAAAACGTCCCTCCTGACTTCAACAATGCATCTTTGTATTTGTCGTCTATTCACACCAAAGCACCTGTTCAGGAAAATGAGCGGATCCATTCAAAGTGCTTTACCAGGAGGAGAGCTAACTTCCTGTTCAGAAAATGTTGACAGATGAGGTTTGATCTCACCATCTTTGGTTGAAAACCGCAATTAGTGTTTGGTACATTGCTCCAGGGCATATCAAAAGTAAGTTAATGAACAAGGACCGTGTTTCTCATGAACGTTCTGTCAGATGGATGTTGGAAGAGGAAATGCAGCAGATTTTGAAGTTATGATGTCAGCATATGAAGCTGTACTGATCCCTGCTCTTGCATTCTTGCTTTTTTAATGGTCAATATATAGAAATCAGCAACAACTTTAAAACCACCGACAGGTACATTGAACAGCAGTGATCACTGCAATACAGTGTTCTGCTGAGAAACCTTTGGTCCTGACTCGGGATCGATCAATATGGGTTTTTTCAGGGCCGATACTGATGCTGGTCATCGTAATCTGGCGAGGCTGATGACCGGTATTTGACGCTGACATATTGACATCTTGAATGTAATGTTCCAACAGCACGTGATAGCAGAGAACCTTTGTTTCATTATTCATTCATTTCATTGCTTTTGAACTGCCTTCATTGCTCTTCATGTTTTCTAAGACTGCTGGTTTCATACACTGTGTTATGTTTTTGTATTAAGATGATTTTATTTTGCTGCCTTGTGAAGCACTTTGTGACTTGGATTTTTAAAAGGTGGTCATAAATAAAGATTTTTCTTCCTCTTTTTCCCAGTTTCAGATATCAAAGCAGAACAGAGACCTACACAACACTAGACAGGTAGTTTCGATGTGTCAAACTTGCTGCACTTCATGACTTTACAGTCATCTCAGGCTAAAGTTAGTGTCAGTATCTGAAAAGTCAGGATTCAACTTATTGCATCAGTGCAAATGTTCCTCCTTTCTTGATTAGATTTAATTGGATTAGATAAATTGCTGCAATTTTCCTGAGGTTCCCACCAAGGGGATCAATAAAGTTCTATTCTATTCTATTCTATTCTATTCTAGAGGACAAGGATTGTTAGATAAGCCGATTAATTAAAAAACAACTATTATGATAACTACCCAATCTACTGAGTGGTTTATACTGCAAAAAATATATACATGTATATTTTTTTAAAAATAGGCATCTTTTGCCTAAAAAAGAAATACTTTATGAACAAAAGTGGCTCGAGTTCTTAAATTTAGACATGAAAAGACAACATCTAAAATTGGGAAAATTTGCATTAAAATCCAGAACTATCTGATTAAAAAGTACAAACAAGATCACAAATATGACAAATTTTCTCCTTTTTCAGCCCCAAACAGTTTTCTAAACTCTCAAACGACACAGAGATGTGGAAGTTAGACCTAACTTTCCTGCACCTAAATTATCTGGAACTATTTGTTTGACGCTTTTAGCCAAAGTACTATAAGGGACCATGAATGGTGGCGTCTGCAGCAGCACCGGAGCTTCTAAACTTCACAGTGAGTGATGAGTCATTCTAGAATTAATCAGCAACTACTGTGATAACCAACGAATCGAATGAGTAGTTTTTCATGTAGAAAATATGTTGTCATGTGTGTCATGAAGTTCAACAAATGGAGCTCTTACAATTTTCCAGTGGACTCTGAGAAAACGTGAATGCAAATTTTGCCCAACTCAGCATTTTATAGACTAAACAATTAAGCGATAATAAAAGTAATGAATAGTGACAGAACAAGCCTCAGACAGCTCAGGGTGGACATGCCTAAAGACAGAGAAGGGATGCTCGGTCTTTTGTTTAAGGCATTGCAAAAGGCAGGTTTAAAAACAGCATGTTGGTGAACTCCACCCACAAGCAGAACATATGGATGACACAGCCTCACAGTCAAGCGAATGGCACCATTTCTGCACAAAAAACTTAATTCTAATTATATCTAGAAAGGATCTCATTACAACATTTGTTGGATGATGCATGCTCTATCTCAGCAAATAACCGCCTGAGATCTCCACACCTGCCAGACAGCCGATAACCGAAGATCAAGATCAAATCTCCTTGACTTCTTTTTTGTTCGTGCCATTTACAAGCTCGTGTTTTCTGCACAAAGCACCAAGACGCCTCTTTCTGGGAATTTCAGGCTTAGAAAATGCACGTTGGGTGAAGAAGGAGTAAGTTTGTGTTTGAAGCTTTAGATAGCGATTCTTTTCCTCTGGGTGTCGGTATCAAAGCCTGAATCTGGAAGATAAATGGTGCCGAAGCGCAGGAAGGAAGACAGCAGTCAGGGAGAAGGAATGCACTGATAAAGGAGGATTCAGGAAGACTGAAGTGGAACACGCTGTGGTTGGTAGAAGTGTGCAGTGCCAATCAGGGAAATACATACAGTAAGAGTTCAGCCATGGGACAAGCTCTACAAATATCAAAAATGTATGTGTGTTTCTGCAAAAAGCTTAAATAACTTGCATTTTTCGTCTACCTGAGAACCAGAAAATGTATCTGTGTTATCCAAAAAAAAAAAGAAGAAGAAGAAATTACAGGGAAATAATGCAAAAATGTGCCCTCAGACTTTCTGTGGTTGCAGGATTCTGCAAAGTGCAAAGAGGAAATACCTGGTGTACAAACTTAAGATAGGTTTTAGAGGACGTGAATCATCTCAAAGCTAAAGGTACTCACCGGTTTCTTGAGGAAAAAGACGGACAGGGCTCCGATGAGAGGCATGTCCCCCAGCAGAGGCTCCATCACCACCCTCATCACTCCATGAAGCTGCACAGAAAAAAGAAATCAGTCAGTCCGCAGTGTTTTCATCTACTGTCAGATTGACTTTTAACATTCATCGAGGGTCTCTGACAGTCGACAGGTCAAACTGATGGAACTGATGGGATGTTTCCGTACAATGTCAGGTGAGGCGATTATGGTGCTTTTTGTAAACACGTGAATTTAAATGCTGAGTCCCGACAAAGTGCTGTGTCTGGTCTTTGATTACCAGGTAGAGCACAGGAAAACTGACTCCTGGGTTCAATAAAACAACTGCTGCTTCTTAGAGATGTCACAGACGTCAAACTAGGGAAGCAAAGACCAAAAACTTCTGGCATCGTGTCTTTCATTCTGGGATACATGGCCGAAGACATATTTGACGTTGATGAATATTTAAAAACAGGCATCTTTTACCTAAAAAATAAAGAATCTTTCGTTAACGAGTTGATAAATTGAGACGTATAAAGAAAATTGGGTAATTTTGCATTAAAATCAGGAAGTATATGATTTAAACACAAGTCAGACAAATGATCCTCTTTGACAGTTTCTAAACTCTGCAATGAGCAGCTCTCAACAGACAAAGACGTGTGAAACTCAAACCTCATTTTCTTTGATTTTGTTGCCCAACGTTTTGACTTATGACTCTCTGAAGGTAAATATCTGTGCAGGTGGGTAACAGCAGACACTCACAGATGCTGCTTCTACACCAGAAAAGTTCTACCACTAGAACCGGTTCTGTTGTGAAACCATGGAATGGTGGTGCCTCTCAAACCAGCCCAGACTTCCACCAATGTGTAGTCAAACCACATATGTAGGTTCGGTAAAAGCGTGTTGTATTTTTTGCACTTTATTCAAATCTTATTTGCATCAATGCAATGCAAAATGTTTTATTTGCAATTTCTTTTTAATTGCTTTTCCTTTGTAAATGAGATGTACCTACTGATTACATCATGGGTTCTGCTATTTAACTTTTCAGGCTTCAAATCTCCTTTTCTTTTGTTGCTGGAAACATGCAGAACGGTTCGAATTCAGGTTAAACAAGCAGAACAGACCCGGTTCCCTCGAGGAGACAACATGCTCACCTCCTAAACACTCACGATACCAAAAATAGCAACCAAGGTTTGTATGGTTCTGTACCTCGAGCAGTTTGATCACTTGATGCAGTCCTGTTGGGATGTAGGTTCCTAAACAACTCCATCAGGACTGGAATTTGTGTTATTATTCTGCTATAGGAGGGAAGAACCACTCTCTTTCTTAAACCAATCCAGGTTGTCTTTGGCGCTGCTCAGCCCAGATGCAGCGATGGTGACCCGGCAAAATAGTGACAAGGGAATTTAAAACAACTAATTCACCAAAAGAACTGAGCAGGTCCGTCTTATTGTACCATCCAAATGTAGTTTTAAGCTTGTCATTTTCAGCATGTAGGTCGCTGCTCAGAGACAGAGGAAGGGGAGGAAAAGCAAGCTGCGCTAAATATGCAACAGAATTGGCAGGACTACACCCGCAGTCTACATCCGGTGAGTTAGGATTAAAAATACTGAATGATGGGGGCACCGCTACAGCTCACCGGGTGGAGCTGGCGTCCCATGTGCAGGGCTACAGTCCCCATGTGGAGGTCATGGGTTCGAATCCCGCTCATGGCCCTGTCCCACACGTCCTCCCCTACTTTCCTCTCTCACTGCTCTATCAATACAGGCACAAAGGCCACAAAAATAACTTTAAAAATAAAACGAATGTTAACATCTGTATACTTTCTATACCTGCAGCTAGTTCTGCTTAACATCCTGCACATTATTACATCATCCGTGCACAATGTACACTCAGCAAACAGATTTTAGTTCTTTAATCGATTCTTAGTTCATCCCATTTCTAAATGTCCAGCTGCTAGACACACTTCTCACTGCTGTTCCTGTTTCTTGGTAGTTTTGTAACTTCATCCTAATTCTGTGATGTAATTTGAAACACTCTGGCCTTGTGATTTTATTTTTTCCTTCACATGACATTTGGCCGTCTCCAGTGCTCGCAGACTGTTACATGGCCATATTACAAAACCTCTATGGTGTGAAATGTCATCAGGAGGGAAACAATCTGCCACTCAAATCAACCATCAGTGCATGAGTCTGGTCTGAAACCTGCAGCGGAAGCAAAGAAACAAAACAAAGTGATGTGCAGGTTTTCTGTTGTAAACGTTGAGGGTTCAGAGCTCTCCACTGTTAGTGACGCAGCTCTCTGCAGTGACTCAAACCTCAGATATGTAGACTGCCCGTCTGCAGCACCAAATTTGGTCGCGACTCGCTCTGAGTAATCAAATACCAACATTTTACTCATCAAAATGGGCGCAGTGGAAAGATTGAAGATAGCCTTTTGTTTATCACTACCAGCCTCCAGTAGCTCAGGGCTGCCTGAGGGACGATGCTTTCTAAATCATGTGCAGCAGATAGACTCTATCAGAGGCCTGCTGGGAAGAAGAGGATGTCTTTTATGAATAAATAAATAAATAACAACAAGTTGATAGTCAGACATCCAGCGAGGGGAAGCTGTGAGAAAGCGTATGAGTCATGATTCTTGATAAACTCCAAGTCCAACTTCTGTGTCTGAGCTTCTTATTTCTTCAGCGGGCGATGGAGAGCTAACACGCACAGTGCAGCAATAAAATCTGAGCCGCACACAAAAGGCAAATATTGACGTCGCTTCGTAACACGCGGCCGATTCTCCCAGTAAATCCCTCCCAAGTCCTTTCTCCACTCACTTTCTCTGCCGCTGTGATCTCTGAACAGCAAATATGGCCTGATCCTGTGCCAACAGCTGAGTGGATAACGTCTCCTTTATCAGCCCCGTGTCAACACATTATGTAAAACTGTCTCTGCAGCGGTCGCGGGTTAATGTGGCGGTCACGGTCAAAGGAATAAAGGTCTAGCACCAGTAGAGTCTGGCTAAAAGCACCGACTCCCTTGTTGTTATTTTTCCAATCATCAAATGTGCAGTTGGTGGGTGTCAGTGGGTCAAGTTTTCATAAGTTACTTGATTTTTAAATGAGAATTTGCACTAAAATAACATACAACTATGTTTTCACAATGTAATTCATTTATTAAAAGTATTTCTATTTATTTTTAGGTCATCTATTTTTTTATTTTTCGGTAACTAAAAGAAGTAGTTCAGTGATTATTATCTTGAATGGGCAGCTGTGGTTTAGGAGGTAGAGCGGACAGTCCTTTAATTGCATTGTGGCGGTTGGATCCCCCGCCCCTCCACAGTTTAAGTGTCCTTGGGCAAGACACTGAAGCCAAAAGATGCTCCAAATGGCAGGCATGCACCTTGCATGGCAACTCTACTCTCAGATGTAGGTCACTTTTATCTATCTATCCATCTATCCATCTATC